AAAATTAATTGAAATTTATAAATAATTATATACCAAATATTACTTTTGTTATAAATTACTTTTTATAATGTAGCTTTACATCTGCATCCACTTTTGCATTCACATTCGATACATTAATTTTTATATTTAATTGAATGAATTTATTCTCATTTTCTATATGAATACGGCTTATTAAAATATTTGATTATGTGCTACAATTAAAACTATTTAATTGTATTATTAAAATATACTAGTTATTATTATTATTTTTTGTACTTAAGCTTTTGTTCCTTAGCAATATTATTTTCTGCTGTAGCAATATCTTCTGATTGTGTATGCCAGCTGTGTTTCATACGGTTGTATCCCAAAAGGTACTGCTATCAATGTTAATTGAAATCATAACCCTTTCCTATTTACAATGAATATGTTTACAGCATAGGCTCATTATTCACAAAATTATGCTCCCTTGGGCCATGTCATTGCCTTTAAGCAGAGTACTTGGGGTTTGGCATATAAGATATAGTCCCATCCACACTCACATTCACATTCGAATGTCAGCAAACCCCGAAATAATGTACGACTCGACTGTTGGCTACATTTTGTATGCAACCGGCTCAACTCAGAATTGACCTCTATATGCAAATAATCAATATATTTATAATTATAAATTATTGTATAATCTCAGAAATGTGATATCCACGAAATTTATCTACATATCCAAGTAAAACTAAATATTTTGTAAAAATTTATTTTTAACGTTTTATCTTGCTGATGGTAAAACATTAGTTTTATTTATTATTTTCAATGGAATACATATTTATTCCGCTGGGACTTCCATGGTACCATTGTTAATTTCGTCAATAACATCATGGGGATGTTTTCCATCAACAGTGCATCCAACACTTTGGGCTGTGCCAAGAACTTCCTTGCAGGTGCCTTTCAGTTCACGAGCCATTGACCTTGGTCGCATAGTGCGTGCGATCGCCAAAATATCATCGAAAGAAATGTTTCCACTGTGCTTAACTGCAAGAGAAAATCAAATTACTAGTAGAGTAAAATATCTGGTGAGCATTCTCACAATCTCTATAAAAATAAAAAATAGCACAATTTAGCATATGCATTAAAATTATATCGGAGCTTGTGTTAGAGAAGTGAATTTAGGCTCAAATTTCTTAATTCATTAACCATCTACACTTTGTTCACATTAATACCATAAATTGGTTTATTCGATGATACTTTTTTCATATCAGGCATAACTGACCGGCATTTTTAGCTCGGCTTTTAAATATCTAGCTTTTCATTAAAACAGTATTTAGCTTTACGAAATCGTTAACCAATCATTTGTTTCACCTTTTCTCACTAAAGTTTTATAATTGTTACTCCACTCGAATCACATACATTATTTAACCGGTCTGATAAGACTAACATGTTGAATGCTCTAATCAGAATTGTTTCTTATTAAAGATACCTATGTAATTGGTATATTTCTCTGCACTTTATGTTCCTTTATGCGTTACACAATAAAAAATAAATAAAAAAAATGCCTACTTCAAAACAAAAACATCAAAAACTTACTGTTCTTCTGCTTCTTTCTGTCACGTGGAGGTTCCTTCAATGCCTTGATGATCAATGAGGCTGCGGATGGAACCACTGATATCGTAGCCTGCCTATTTTGAATGGTAAGGCATACCGTGATCTTGAGTCCCTTCCAGTCAGAAGTGGCCTTTGCAATATCGTCACCTACTTTTTTAGGAGACTATAACAAACATTAGCTTAGAAAACACACTAAATATATTGTGTACTCACCAATCCCAGAGGACCGATTTTGGGAGCCAACGATGAGGTAGCACCAACTTCGCCACCAACACAACGAAGGTACACTAGAACAATACAAATTATCATATAAACAATATACTCGGATGAATGATTTAATTTATATTTATATGGAGCATAACGTACCCAACTTGACTTCCGTGGGATCAAACTTAGGAGGCATCTTTATGTATGAATGGTTTCAGCTGTTAAGAGTAGAGGATTATCAAAATATTGCCCGATTTTTATTCATGATAATTTTTAACGTACCGTCACCAAAAGCGCCGTAAAGGGAAAGAGTCCGATAGTGCCATAGTGATGGGATACTTAGTTTCCGGTTATATCAACTATCGAATGAGTAATTTGGTAACAAAGGAATAGAACACATAATTGTACGTTGGGTTATCATGATAATAATAATAATTTTATAACCAACTTTTTTCGAAACTCATGTTATATATATTTTAAGAGAGCAATTTCCATCATTCAACTAACAACTGATCATAAGTCAGTAAAGCATATGATATGATACTAGGTGTTTGAAAATAATATATTAAATAATAATCAATAAAATTACCTTAAACGTGATTTATTATTTAATGCTTCTTTACAACGCACTGAAGTAAGATAATGATTCATTTATTGTTGTAAAGCCTGAAAATAAATCTTCAACTACATTATTAAAAGTAAATGGATTAATGTATGTTTCTCTTATTGTTCCGTTCTTCTAAAGATGGTACTGTGAAATGAAAACAAGCCTAATCGATATACATCGGGTTTCTCTATTTTGCCAATCGATATATATTGCTTTGAATTGTCTTACATCCCTAATCTAAACCTTCTTTCCGGTGTAGCCGTCGTCGACGGAGGTTAAAATGGTGCGTAAACAAAATCTTCATCAATAAGTGCAATCATATAATAACTTATCAAATTTAAATATTGCTTACTAAATGAAAACAATCTCTTTAATAGGCCGCACATAAATCGTTCCGCATCAAGCAAAAGCTTGCTAAAAAACTGAAGCAGAACCGCTCTGTACCACAATGGGTTCGCTTACGTACTGGAAATACCATTCGGTAAGTCTTGGACGTCTATCTATAAGTTCAAATCGGTGTAGTTTTCCAATAGGTTAAACAGTATAGATATATTAATGTAATAACGTTGTAACTATGTAAAAACAAGAATATTGGCGCTGTGATAAGCAGAGTAAATTGTAAATCAGCTGTGTGCAAGTTGTTTCAAGCCTTCGTATTAGAATTCTAATTCTGCCAAATAAACATACTTGTGAGTGCAAGGTCAGAATGTATCCACAGAAACTCTCCCACCCTATGAAAAGAGATTGATACCGGCATACAGTGTATAGACGTACAAATATATATGTATATATTATTTCGTCAAAACAAACATTGGTGAAAAAAAAAGCCTTACGAAAGACTTTTGGTTCTTTAAATCAAGTTTGATTAAATATCTAGAATACTTGTAGTTTTCAATATTTATATAAACGCGACTTTAGTTGCTTGAGCAGCGACAACTTATTTACTTTGGTTATCAATATTAACGAAACTTTTCCCTTTATTTTCAGGTACAATGCCAAGCGTCGTCACTGGAGGCGTACTAAGTTGAAGCTGTAAACTTGTGCAAATGCCGTGTTTTGCAGTTTTGTAGTTTGTATCAAATAAATTAATTTTTGAAATACAAACTAAATTTATTATATATTTATTTCGGGATATGGTCTTTTAAAAAGTTTTTTTCTGAAGTGCTGAATTTAAATAAATGTATTTAAAGTATGCTAAAATCGCACGATAATAATACACCCCTATAGTATTGTCGAAAGCTTGTCACAGGTGCTCCGCGACTGCGGGTACTTAAACTGAAGATGCGGAGAAATGCGTGTATTGGATACAGCAACAGCAATTATTGGAGATTAGTTTTATAAATACTATGGGAAGCATCAATACTGGGTGCAGAAACTAGGATATATTTGCATGGAAATAAACGATTTAAAATAAATGCCGAATTGACATTAAACAGTATTTAATGTATGTAATGCTCATTTTAGTTCTGGGTACCAAAATCCGTGCTGTGGAACATTGGAATATTTATTTTACAGCTTATTTTGAACTTGAGAACTGCAGAAGCTACAAAGACTTATGAAGTTTAAAGGAAAATTTGGTCGTAAATCTAGATCGACAAGAAAACATTTTTATCGTTATGGAAAAATTAAAATATTTAGAAAAAATTGCATTCATAATAAATAAAAAAATTTACAAATATAATTATGCCTAATAACTTCATAATAAGTTTTGTTTGTTTGCCTAATAAGTTTTGTTTAAATCTGGATGAGATAAAAAAAAATAGCACAAACTGCTAAATCCTAGTACTTGTTTCATCGTTCCGATGCATAAATGCATCTTAATGCTGTGTCTGCATCATATTGCAACTCAGAAAGTGGAAAACAATGTTATCGAACTTTGACATCCAATAGTTCGATATTTACGATAGATAATAATGCATCCGGCTTTACTATTAACGGCTAAATCACAGTCATAGAGTAGACATTTTGCTAGTATAGCTTTAATAGTTTACCCCTAATTCCATTCGTATTCATTCATTATTTATAAAGACAATATACTAATAATGAGTAAAGTCAAATGTGTGTCTTACAAAAAAGTATCTTTAGTAACTGAGTAACTGAGTAACTGGTTAAATATTTTAAAAAGTACTAAGAAGTGACACGTCTCAGATTCATCAAATATTGCACATCTCTAGTCTGAGTATTGTTCGTTTTCTCCGAATGCCAATGGCCGAAGTTAATAATATTCACGAAAACTATGCTTTTCAGTCAAGAATATAATAAATGATAAAAAAAGATTGTTAATGCATGTAAAATTAAAACGTTTAGTGTATGTTTGATCAACGCATTACATTTCGCACAATGTCGAACCACATGAATCATACATCTTTGTGAACGTTTTATAATATAATTTTAATTTTGGAACATAAATCGGTGTATATCATAAACAAGTGCATTAAACATGCGGGAATTTAAAGTGGTTGTGCTTGGTTCCGGAGGCGTTGGTAAATCGGCCCTAACTGTTCAATTTGTCTCGGGGTGTTTTATTGAAAAGTATGATCCCACCATCGAGGACTTTTATCGAAAGGAAATAGAGGTTTGTCATACATATGTATTTTCTGTCAGCACAATTTATATGCTTTCGTATGTATAAATGTCTATATAGATACTTGTGCATGAGCATATGTAAAAATACACATCTATGCTATATGCATATGTATATATTGATATATATATATATACATATATGTACATATCAATATATATATGTACACACAGACGTATGTATGTATGTGCATGCGTGCGTATGTGTGTATAAATATATACATGAGCAAATAAAAATACTTATAAATTGAATTAGTATGAACTGTTTTATGCATTATTGTAAAATTATTGGTCTTTACCATTAATTATAGTTTAATTCAGTATTCCGCTAAGTAAATTATGTATTTACCGTTTGTCTGTAGCTTCCATGTTTTATGACTCATTAATAGTAAAGACATAAAGAACGATACAAAATTTTTTTCTAAGTGCAACTGTATATAAACAGTCTGTAAAGTAAACGAGTTCAGTAATTTAAAAAGCCGTTTACATAAACAGTATAATGGGTAGTTTTATTGTTTAATTTGACATTGACTGTAACAGGAAGAAGGAACCTATTGAAGTTGTAGAGATCTTGCTTATAGATCTAATTCAATTATTATTTTAAAATGTAAAATAAAAATGAAATCATATTTGTGTATAAACTCAGCGTTAATTGTGGATTCTTTTCCAAGAATTATTTAGCCAAATACACAATATATTTTTGTATACCCAGTACTACTTAAAAAGGGTATAAAAGGTACAATAGTTTATGAAAATTTATGAAACAGGCAGAATGAGGATTGTTAGAATATTAAATATTGAATATATATTCCACATAAAATAATATTTGTGTGCTCTGCGCAGGGTATCTCCTAGTCAAACACTTTCGACTGGTGATTTTTTGTTGGGTTTAGTGAATTACATTTTATGCATGTGATATCAACATATGTGTTTATTTATGTATATAACTAACCATAAGTTTGTCCTGACTCACTGATTACTTAAGCACACTTAAGAAGTTTTTTCTATTAAACAAACTTAAAATTGATGGAAAATGTTGATATGAAAGTCATTTAACTGAATCTGTCTGATATAATGCTTACGAACACAGTTGTCTAGAAAGCTCAATGGACTTTGGCTTTGTTCGGAGTTTATTAACCCTAAATCACCGAAGTTTAGAAGGACACGTTGTTATATATATATTTATATGTATGTAGCATAGGCATTACTTTAAAGCTTTTTAAACTGAGCTGAGCCATGCTCATCTGTGTGGAAGCAAAATCTCAACAAATAGACTTAAAATTTATTTTTATGCCAGCTTATCATACAATATTTTTTTTTTATCTTATCCCACTATCTTAACATATTGAAAAGTATTATGACTAAAGGCACAAAATCTGCAATGTATGCAGAGATTATGAATATTTGTTTTGTTGGATAACGTCTAAAATTGAGATGAAATTTAATGAGGAATTTTGCATAATGAGACGGAAGCGAAAGCAATCGCGGGATTAAGGATTTACGTTCTTTCGAGTGTGCGGGGGTTTTTATTTGTGTCAAGTAGTCTGGGACGCAGAGTTCAGAGTATCAGTTAGTCGGATGCGCCAGAGAAATTATATAATAATATTTCTGGATATATGTATGTCTGTTCAGTTAGTTCGAGGTCATCTATTAGTTGATTATTTCTAATCAGCAATGACAAGGTTTGAACACACATAAAATAAGAAGCATATCTGAAGTTATTGAACACTCTTGACTCTATTATCTGCAGACTTCGTCATCTTGCCTTGAGACTCATCCTATCAGTTGTGATAGACCACTGAGTCTATAAACAAATATTTAAGTTTATCAATCAGAATTCATTAGATGACATAAAATAATTCGAAATACCAACACTAATTTTGTATATTTATTAACAGGTTGACAGTTCTCCGTGTGTTTTGGAAATATTGGATACAGCCGGAACTGAACAATTTGCTTCTATGAGAGATCTCTACATAAAAAACGGGCATGGCTTTATTGTGATGTATTCGCTGACAAACCATCAAACATTTCAGGTAAGTGAAAATGCGCAAAATAATTTTAATTTGACATATTCTTAAACATCGTAAATATAATGCTGCCAATGTCAAAAGCAACTAAAACTTTTACTTTTCTTCACCAGGATATTTCAAGTATGAAAAATGTGATTACTCGAGTTAAAGGAAGCCAACCAGCACCGATATTACTTGTAGCAAATAAATTTGATTTGGATTGTCAAAGAGAAGTATCAACCGCTGAAGGTAAATATCATTTTAATATAAACTGGGAAAAATTAGTATAAATTCGTATATTTGATAAGTCGGTTGAGTAAGAAGAAGACGTAGAACGAGGTTTTTAGAAATATAAAATACAACTCGCTTTAAGATGATATATTATAAATCTGTGTATTACTTGAACTAATAACGAATAATTTTCAGGTAATGCCCTGGCACATCTCTGGGAATGTCCTTTTATCGAAGCATCAGCAAAGGATCGAATAAATGTCAATGAAGTGTTCGCAACTATTGTTCGAGAGATGAATTTAACACAAGAGAAACGACAAAAAAAGAAATACTGTTGTTGTACGCTTTTATAGAAATTTGTAAATATGTAAGATTAATATAGTTAAAAATAAAATCACAAATATGTATGTAAAAAATATACTGACCAAGTAATAAGTTTAATGTCCGAGATATTTAAAAGGAACACCATGAAAAAATAAATAAAAACTGAGACAACGACGGTTGCCTTTAATTTGTGCATTGTTTTTGTATTGGGACGTGATTGTTGTGTATTAATAAAATTAATTATGCTTTCGACATAATTAGCGATGGATGTATAATATCTATATCATATTAAATAACGCGTATTCTAACATATCTCAGAGTTTAATAGAATTGTGGGAATCGTGAAGAGTTAAGGCTAATTTTTCATATTATATACCAATCTGATGGAGCAGTGTAATTGTTAGTACCACATGTGCTTATTTTGACCCAGTAATATTAAACAGACTTAAATTTAATAGTGGGTTTATAATTAAAAGTCACACCACACAATAGGCTGTGGCTTAGCCTTAACAGTAGAATCATAAAATAATTCATTTTAAACCAATAATAAATACTGCAAGCTAATTTTTGTATTGGTGATTAATATTTACATTTTACATACATATATTTTGAATATGACATAGATTAACGTCAATAAATTTCTCAAATGATTTTAATTTCTTTCTTTTACTTTGTTTATTGAAACAAATTTTCTCAAATTTTCTTCGCCTACTATTAAATTCCTATCGATGCTATTGCTTAACAAAGTACAAGCATTAAAATTGTTTTTTTATATACTCAAAGTTAATTGAAAAAAAATATATTATTGTTTAATATATTTTGAATATCGATTAAAATGAGTCCACATAATTTTGCTTCTTTGTAAATCTGTTCCATTTCCACGTCCCACAATCGACGCTATTTCATTCGATATTTTATTCTGCGCAATGCAATACTTATTTTTTGTACATACTGACTCCAATTATAAGATATTTTGCTGTTTACATTTATATATATATTCAGTTCTTTATTTATGTCATACGTGAAGTTTTTTGTCAATTAATAATCGTTGTCCGCTTGATAAACAAAAATGGATTTTATTGACGATTTCATAGAAGAGTACAAGAGCAATCCGTGCTTGTGGAAAGCCGATTCAGTTGATTTTAGAAACCGAAACAAACGACAAGAAGCATATTTAAGATTAATTGCTGTAGCTACTAAACATGGAGAGCTATACAACGTTGAAAGAACTAAACAGAAAATAAACAATCTTCGATGTGCATTTCGTCACCAGCTGCGAAAGTACAATGAAGTTAAGAAGAAAGGTGAAAAGTATGAGCCGTATTGCCCCAAGCGGAGATACTTTGAATCTCTTATGTTTCTGAAGGACGAGGAGATTCCCGAGAAAAAAATCAAGCGTGAAGACAACCTACCCTTACAGCAGCAAAATACAGATATAACTGTAGCACAGCCGGAACCTCTCGAAGAATATTCGGATGCTGAGAGCTTGCCCAAACAAATGAAAAGCGATAATAAATTATCACCGAGCAACAGCAATAGCGCCAACGATTTCTGTGCCAATTTATTCGAGGAAACAGAAGTTGATCCAAATTTCAGCATCCAACCTGTAAACTCTTCCAACAATCAGACAACAATCAAGGAAGTGGAGGTTATATTGCCGACCGACAATAGTAATATATCCGAGAGCAGAAAATCATTTAATAATTCCATCAACACCAACAACAATAGCTCGCTGAACGATAAGATTAACTCCACAGTCCACATTATCGAATCCAATCGCGATAAACGTGCGCGATTCATCAAGAATAATCGGAAACGCACTTCGTCCGCATCCTCACAGGTCTCAAATGATAATCCGGAGACAACGCCACCTGGGAAATGCAGGGCCGACATTTCCAACATCGATTTCGATCGTCTCTTTTCGTTAGCTCTTAAGAATGCCGATAATCAATTGGATGATTATTTTACGAATTTTGGCAAAGTAGTAGCCCACAAGCTGCGCTCCATGGATCACACACAAGCGATCTACGCTGAGAAAATAATCGCCGATGTTCTCTATCAGGGCCAGATGAAAATGCTATCCGCAATAAGTATAACCCAATTTCTAGGTGTAGATAATGCAACTGTTTATGTTGAAAGTCCTCCAAAATAATTGTTCTCAAAATAAAAAAAAACTAATGTTATACACAAAATAAAATAATTCACTGAAATTATAAATGTCTTACATTTGGCTTACAAAATATATAATTTTGATCTTTCATATTTTCATGTTTTAGAGCCTATGTTTATCAAATAAACTTGTTTTCTTTGGCCTTAAATATCTTCATAAGGTATATACATATATAATTTGTATGACGACAATAGATTAGGGGAATCGTGGAATAATTCTTTACTCCCTTCGACATTAGGGGAATTACGACATGGATGAGTATGGAAGAGTTTTTTGCTGCGCTGGCTTCTAAGCAATGGAATTCTTGGTCATTAAATGGAAATTTCTCTTTCACCCAATGAAAGTGCTTCTTGGATCAAAATGTGAACCTCGTTTCATTTTCTGATGGCTTCACTATCTTGGCTGTGTTCAAGGATGTCAGCGATGCATGTGTGAATGCGGCTTGTTTTGCTCATTTAATATGCAGATCTCAAGTCCATCCCTGAAACAAAGCAGGCAGCAAATTAAATAAGCCTGACTGAGTAGCGGAGTTACATATAAGAAATCTTGGGAGAAGAAACAAAGCACATTTTTAACCAACTTTTAGCAATTGTGTTTCCCACTAACGAACTGAGGTTGTATGTGGCTGGGCTTGGGATAGCTGTAGTCTCCATCACTAAAGGAAGAAAGACGCAATGCTTCATCGTACATTAAGCAACATTCAATTCTGATTCAATTTTCAGCCCAACAAAAACCATTGTATTAAAATAATGAACACAATTCATTTTAATATATGCAAAAATATTTATTTTATATTAATACAAAATATAAAACTTGTAAAATCTAATAAAATTATTTGCACAAAAACTTTTATTAATTTATTTTATACCATTCCAAATCATCTGGTTTATGGGAAGACGGTGTATTAATGATAGCTTGGGTATCATTGAAAATATTGCTGCATATATTATCGCCGATCTGAAATGCAAATTTTGTAATTATTATTATTGAATTGAGATGTGATATTATGATATTACCTGAAGAGACGATACTAAATTATCGGGACAGTCTAGCACGTTAAGTCCAGATTCTAGAAAAAGATTAGAGATAAGCAAAGTATGTAGTTAAATTAAATAACTAATAGCTGTGATTTTTTTTTTAAGAATATATAATAGGGAAATTTAGATTTAGTTAAACTATGCACTGAGCGAATCCCTCATTGGGTTTTATAGGTCGGCTTAAAACAAATTTATTCAAACTGGTTTTTTGAAGTAGTAGTTGATAAATTTTCAATTCTAGCCCACTTTGATTAAATCTACTTTGATTTCGATTTATTTTTCTGTTAGAATCACACAGATTTTTCTCTGTCTGTCGCTTGTAAAAAATGCTCGAATATATTAAATTCCAAATCGGGTTTCTTCTTGGATTTTTTGTCTTTCTTTCAAAGCATTTGATACTTACGTATTCTAGGATCATTCCATGAAGTCGTTCGATCAATATGGTTTATAAAATAAATATCTCCAGACTCGGTAACAGCTTGTTCCCAACCATCGGGTAATGGACCAAGATGAGTAGCTATAGTCGATGAGCTAGTTGGCTTTGTCGTTTGTATAACATCTGCATTGAAAGGCATCAAGTTGGAGATATTTAATATAGGATTGGTACGTTATTATGCATATATAAACATCTATATATAATGCATCTATATACATATATGCTGTCGAAGGAACTGCTGAATGTAAGTGTAAAAGACTTTAATGTAATAATGCAAACATCATTGGCATTCCGGGAGCGAAACAATTTATTCGTTTGCAGCTAGGCAGAAACATTCATATTCATTCATTTTCATATTCATTATCATAATTGGCCTTTGTTCAACCCATTTGAAACCAAGCTCCAATAGAAACTATCAGTTATCCAGCTTCAGAATTTCTTATTTCAGAATGTGAACAAATTCGGCACAATACCGATTTTGAATGGCTGTTAACAAAAGCTTCAAATTGATAATTGATAACTTTATAATTTTTATTCTTAGACTTAAAATAACTGAGTAATTTTTAGTTAAAAATATATATTTTATAATATTCAAATGTATAGATATTTCAATAGATATACATATATTTATGAACATACCATTTGGCTTTATCCGTTCAGCTAAAGCTCGTTGCTGCTGTTGGCGAAACTGAATTCGTGGATCCTCCCATTGCGTTGTTTTTGAGGTGTGGCTGCAAATCGAAAATAAAAACAAGGTTAGAAAACTCGGGCTTTGTTCAAGCCAAATTAAATGCTCAATATATGTATGTTTAGACACGTACTACTCGCCAGTCTACATTTTGTTGAGTTGCAAAAGCTAATATTTTGTGCTAGTTTATTGATTTCATAATTTATACATTAAACATGCAATAAGGACTTCATCTTGGATTATATATTCCCATTTTATATATTATATATAAAATATGAAAAAAGAAATTTTAATAAATATTTTTGATCAATTTTCTTTAGGGACATATTAAAATATTTTCCTTCTATAAATTATTTTAATTTATGTTAATGTTGATTTTTCCTCTGAATTAAAGAATTTTTAAATAAAAAATTAGTTTAAAAAATAAATGTTCATTAATTACTGCAGATTCCTTCACTTATATGTATATATTATAAATATATGATAAATTGAAAAAAATTTTCTGTATTGCGACGCGAGTTTGCTTGCTTTTACCTGTTGCATGCATTGGCCTGAAGCCATTCAAACAAGGGATAGATGAAATAATATATATATACATGTATACATATAAATAACTATGTATATATAAGAAAATAAAAATATAAAATATGTGAATCCTGTCGACTAATCTGTTTAAAGCCAAAGATAGTTAACTAAACAAATATTATGTTTTTTTTTTATTACTTTTTTTTTTTTTTTGTTGATTTGGCACAATAATTATTGATGTTATGAGTCAGTTAAATACTTTAAGAATTAGGCAATATAGTTATTTTTAACTAATTATCCAATTCAAAATACTTACTTTAAATAGTAAATTTGTCCATCGTTAGTTTTGGCCTGCTCCCAGCCAGGCGGTAAGGCACCTAATTGACTTTGTAATTGAATTGGGCTGACGACATCGTATGATCTTTGCTTTTTATGAATGGTTGTCTGTGTGGCAGCTAAGGCAGCAGCGTCCGGTCCTGGTACTGGTCCCATGCACGTATTGATGACATCTAAATCGATATTGTTGGCCGTACTAGCGCTGACGAAGTCGACGCTAGTTTCGGGATATGCTGGCCCTTGGTTAGTGTTGGCGTTGTTAGCGCTCGGCTCGTTGCGGGTGCGCACATTGTAGTTCTGCTGCAGGGACGCCGGACTGCTGCGAGCACGAATATGATGTATTGCCAGACGGCTGTGTGATGGCTGGTTCTGCTGTGTGAGAGATGGCTGCATTTCTGGCTGGGCAGTCTTGTTGATATTGGTTTGGGAGCCATCGTATGTGGAATCGGCACTGTTGGCTCGCGAGTGGAGCGGTGCCGGAGGATTGAAAAATGAATTGGGTAGCTTGCGCATACGAAATGGTAATTGCAATGGAAGCTTCGCATCTCCTGGATTCAATACACTATCAAATAATGCTTGCAAATTATCATCAGAATCTTGATTTACTCGTACAACAAGATTCGTTGATATTTTCGTCGGTGATAGCATATCCTCATCGTCGATTTCCTTTTCGCTAATATTGCTTTTATTACTTAAAGACATTGTTCCGAAATATTTGTTTATGTACACAATACAGTTATAAAAAAAAACCCCAGCCACACAATGTCATCAATTTCATTTGTAAATTAGTTTCCAAACAAACACTTAGATCACTTCATCATATTTTTGTACACAAACAATTTTTTTTTTTTGTATATGTAAACTTATGTCTATTAAATAGTGAAATTCCGTGTTACTATAAGACTTAAACAATATTTATATACACATATACTTGTATATTATACCATACACGACAGAACTGCCAACATAACACAGCAAATTATATAAAGGGTATCATTCAACAGTTTGTCTTTAGAGAAATATCGATATTTTTAGCCGATATTTGTGGCATCCTAATTAAATGAAATTTCTCAGTATTTAAAGTAAAGATATTTTCTTATATGTTATAATAATAATATAAAATAAATAGAAGAAATAACTAGTTGTTCAATAATCGTCCCACCAATTTATTTGTATTCTCATCTGGTCATATTTTTGTAATCGTCTATGAGAAGCAACTGGTGGCATCTACAAGTATTTGATTGCCGGTGGTGGAAACAGATTGTTATTTATGATTTATAATTTTGCTTATGTGTAATAATATTTTGTATTATTTTTAAAAAGCTCTAAAAGGTAATTGAAATGTATATTTATCAATTATAGTAATGCAAATACACAATTTAGACGGACTGATAAGAATGGAATAAAAACGCTCCTAATTGGGCTGATTCAAAATAAATCGCCATTTTGACATTTTCTAATAAGACAAGCACACAGTCTATACTGTTTGCCTAGGAAATAATTTCAATGATTTTATTACGAACATACTGCAAATGGTAAAATAAATAATTTGGATTTTATATTTTATCCCAATTTCTTACTGCAACTAATTTTTTCAGATCACCTTGAAGGCTTGGTACCTTTTAAATGGTAATAAATTTGGGTGCTTTTATTAACTATTTAAAAAAGTATTCTTATAAATTTAAATATTTAACATGTGTCAATGCTAGAAATATAGATTTCCAATTAGGATTTACCTTGCACTGCGCTAGGCTTTCTATTATTCTAACTTACTCATATCGATATCTTACACGCTCTCCAATATACACACGCTATAAATTTCTCTGGTTAGATACTAAGTGGAAATATCGGCACTTATCGATGTTAAGGAAATGGAATGAGGCATCGTCATATAAATGAAAAGCTGCATACGATATCAAGAATGAATACATACAGACACGTACATACGTATAAGCCTATGTATGTATTTATAAGCTTCCTCTGTCTGTAGTAGTAGTTTTTGAGCTATGGGAAATTCAGCTCGTACTGAAACCTTTACCCTCTGACCCCTCCTTACAAAAAACAAAATTATATTTAAATTGATTAATTAATTCTTTTTAGCTTAGTTTTACTTGAATATTTTACTAATTTCAGTGGTATTTCACATGCAAGTACTATACACACAAATACACGCACATGCGCATACAATTATAAGATAAATATGCATTAAAGATCTTCAAGAATTCCCTATATGGTCATTCCCGACTTGAAAGATTTATGATTATTAATTCTTCAAGCTATTAGCTAATAATTGCTGAAATTCTATTAGATTCTTCCTGATTTGACTTGTGTTATACCAACTTCTAATTTATTGATTTTAGATCTAGATCTGCTTTAACTTCAATATTCTTATTATATTCATATAATAGTCACAATTCTTATAATTTAATGAATGAATAAGATATGTAGTATACTCGTCGAGGATTGGAATGTTGAATTCTTGACTAGCTTTGAAAATATTTTCAATTGATCTAAAAGATTATCCAGATAATTAAGCCTTTGATCTGTTTTGTTTGTAGAGGTTAAAAAAAATTATAAGGAAATACGAATTAAACTTATGAAACGAATAACTCTATAAGAAATTTCCTAAAAGCTAGAAACTTTATTAAAAAGTATATATTACATGCAAGTATGAAAATACATTTCACCACATATAAAATTAAATTATAATTTCGGACTATTCATTTTATTCTATTGCGATACAATGGGGCTCTTTTTATCTATATCCGCTATATTTGCATTGTTTTGAGGTCCAGAAGGGTTGCCAGGACTAGCTGGAATATTGCCTCCCCGTTCCATACTCCATGGATTTGAGCCAGATATTGGCGAATCGGCATGGCCAAAGCCAGTGTGATTATCGTGCTCGACGGCATTTGTGCCATCGTATTGGGTATTTTCCAAACGGGTAATGAGCCTTTCGTCCTCCTCTCCGAATTCGCCACCCATTAATGTTGGCTCGCCAACAACCATCACATCTTGCGAGGACAGGGAAAAGCTGGGTCCCGATGGCGATCTCTTTTGATTCGCTACGGGCGGTGTGCTCGTGTTGTTGGCACCTCCCGAATTGGATCCTTTTCTTTTGCGACGCTTATTCGGCGGTCTTTGGGGGTCCTTTTTGCCGGGCGGCGCGACCATGCGCTGCCATTTTTGAAATAAAGTCGTCTTTAAGCAATCGCGCGGACTCAGAGCATACGCCTTGTGGCGCGACATTAGCTCCTGCATTGGCTCCAATATAACACACAAGCGAAGGTAGTTCAAGGTTGAGTTTGTTATGCCAGCCCGAGTGATATTCTTGGTTATTTGATCCAACAGCATCGGGTCTGGCGGAAGCGAAGTGCCAATTACGGATCGTGGAATGAGTTCTCGATGCCCTTTGATGGTCATGTGCCATGATTTGATTCTCATGTAGTCATCGTACATAAATTCTAGTATAAGTCTTGCATCCGCACACACTTTTGTGAAAAATGGCTTGCCATGCTGTGTTATTATGGTGCACTGATCGCAATCCAATGTTATGGATGTGTTGTGAAAAGATTCCTTAGCATGCTTCAGCTGGAAATACAGGTCAGAGACGCCGCCCTCAAAGATGCTTCGAAAAAAGCGTGGCACCAGTGTCCGGCCAATTGTATATCTTTTTGGTCCATCCTCCAAACAGAATAATATTGTTAATCTGGCGTCATCCTCGAAGAATTCGGTTGTGAACGAATCCCACCAGCAGTTGTCGCTGTCTTCATTGCGCTGTTGCAGGCGTTTGTTTAGCTCAAACACTCGATGCTCTGTGTGACTGAAGTATGAGTTGTGTCTCCTAAAGCCTTGATCGATTCTATCCATTTGCTGAGGTCCACCCATCATTGGATGGTTTCCACCATGGCCAAATGGTGATGCTGGTGGCATGGGATTGAATTGGCTTCCGACGCCAAAAACTGTCGGCGAGGAGAAATGACCAGCCTGTGCGCTGTTAAATGGTGTGCCTGAGCTTGCTGGTCGGCTAAATTGACCCAAGCCGGAAGACGGCGACCCAAATGGTCCGCCAACTGGTCCATTGAAGTTGCCAGCAGTTGAGGATTGTGAATAATTTCCCTGTATATTTTGCGATGCAACACCCACAGGTCCTGGAGTCGATGAGCCTGACGGAGCTGGCGATGAAGTGTATTGAGGAGTATTCGATCCGGGTTGATTAGTATTTTGAAATACTAAAGACTGATTGCCAGCAGGTGAGGATTGACCAGCTTGTGGGTATGGATTGCCACTAGCCGAATATGGTAGCCCGCCTTGTGGAAATCCACTCTGATTGCTGGCGTCCGGATTTATAGATGAAGAATTTGATGAAGGCAACATTGCTGAGCCTTCTGTTACCCCTTTCCAGCTTCCTTCGTCAATATTTGATTGAGAAGTCATCGTATTTCCAGTATTTAAACCTCTACGATTCATTCCTACTTCAGTAGTTTTAATAACATTCGCTTAGGTCTGAAAACAATTAATTTTCGTTCACATTAATCACAATCATATCACTTAATAACAAAAGTTTATTTTTCAATAGCATTTTGTAGTTAGTAAAAACAACTTTTTTATTTGGAAACAATAAACTGTGTTGAAAAGATATTTCTTAATATTGTGTCGGACAAACATTGTATTGATTAGAAAAATAGCTTTCAAGTTAAGAATCAATAACAACATTAAATGAACACTTTCAAATAAACACTTGTGACTTACCTAAATAAAAAGAAATATATATTAAACTTTCAATTATGTATCTACTTTCCAAAGGGAATAATCGTTCAATTAGATAGAAATGTTATCGAGTTGATAAGCATATATCGAAATAAAAATGCGTATGTAAATTACGTCAGAGTAACGTCACATTTTCAATCAAAGAACACACAACCATTCTAGAATATGCAATTTTTTGCACTATAAATATATATATTTATAATGAAATATAATGAAACAGTTGTATAAGTATATAATTATTGAGATTATCAAATATTGAGTGTTAATTATCCATGCACTCATAGATGTATATTTCCGTAATCCGCCGAAACAGTTAATTTGGTTCGATAAAAAAAATAAAAATAAAACAAACAAATAAATAAATTTAAATATTCAGAATAATGACAAAATTATAAAAATATAATTCATCAATACTGCATTCAGTGCAGCATTTTTTTTCTTTGAAATATAAATATCTATTGTGCGCAGTGTATTTATATATATATAAATCAATGATAGTAAATATTTGCATTTTATTTAATGTAAATTATTTATGTATATATGTAAGACTTTATTTACATACGATTTGCGATATAAAATATGTGTATATAGACATTTAACACACAAAACAATAATGTGCCCTCATAGCTAGCATATGCCTCAAGTGAATAACACGGCCAGTGGAAAATAGTCAAATGTTATCGATATTTTTGAAATTAACTCTGAATTCTACAATCATAGAGACAATCAATCATATTCATTTTTACAAGTTGAATAGTATGGAACATATTTTATTAAAAACGTGTGATTTACATTCTCGTCATAAATTTTGGAGTTTATTGCCAATACTACAAAATATTACTACAAATTCTACGACAAGGAAATATACCCAATCTGATGGTCTAAATATGAGCGTATAAATTCAGCATTCAATATTTCGCAATCGTTCCGAGCAATTTCATGGTTCTTATATACATACATATGTACATACGTACATACCTTCAATAGGACAAACACAAAATGTGTTGAAAATCAACTGCTGGACATATTCAAGCACTAAATAAATAACTATTTACATGGATAATATAAAATTGAGATTGTGCTCAAAATTTCAAACTGAAATAATGAAGATGGATTTTTGTAAACAAATACGCTTGGATGTTGATGAATCAGAATCTGTGAATTTGAGATCAATAATCAAACATATAAATTGCAATTGATTTTATGCTGCATATATTGCAAATGATTGTAGCCATGAGCTCCCCAATTCATAAACAATATTGCTTCGCATCGCCGCGACGTACGAAAACTACTTCAGAATCTGATAAGGGATTACTCAACAATTCTGAAGAAAGGAATGCGAATATATTGTTAGATGACTTACCGCCACAGCCACTCGCCGCAGCAATGTTTTCTTTCCAGTTGATGGCAGATGCTGTTAACAGAGCGCTGCAGCACTGCACAACATCACCACCCAAAAACTCTACTATGACGCAGATTGAATTTAATTCTAGTAGTGCCCCGTCATTTTGTTACTTTTTTATTGATATGCAACCGCAATCTGAGAATGAATATAATTTTTCGGACTACAATATGAATTCTTATCAAAACTACACAAATCCCTCGGATAAACAACAACTAAGTAGCTGTCACCAAACATCAGAGGCGAGTGATTCGAAGTTTCAACGACAAAGAAGTTTGTCCGAATGTAGTGATGACAGTTTTATATGCTTCGAGGATGATAACAAAAGTATTGATTCGATTGCAATTGGTTGCACAGATTGTAATGGAACGGATAAAATGTCTGAAATCGATAATAGTCAAGAACATCGGAAGCGGGTATGTTTGAAATAATTAATCTAACTTGGAAATACAAGTAAGAATTTTTATAATTTCAGGTACGCTTTGATTTAAAACCAAAGGTTCATGTTATGCACACTTGGGATTACGCTTATCGGGCGGCTCGGAAAGGTGGTTGGCAACAGATCGCTCTCGATCGTGAAAGATTTCAGCAGAGAATAAATCGCATCGCCCCAACTCTAAATATTATTCTAACCTCAAACCATCGGGATAAAATTTATAAAGATCGGTTTTTAGTTATAAAATAGTGATAGATTCGTTATAATAATAAATTCTTAATTCCTGTATATAATCTTCTGTTCATTAAAGAAATCTATGTAGATAAGTCAAAATGACCCTGCATGAATTTTAAAAATTGTAAATTACCTTCGTTGTTGCAATTGTTAAAAAAGAAAATATTTTGTTTTTATATTAAACTTGTGAAGATTAACTGGAAATGTTTCTGCCTTAAGAGATTTTTGTTGTACTTTTACATAAATAGAATGTTAAAGTATTATTTTTGTACACACTCCAAAGTCGTAGACTAATATTTGAAAATAGAATGTAGAGGGGGTGGTGTTTCAAGAATCTATAATTTTTAAATAAAAACATAAAAGGAATTTTGCTTTGTATAGCTTTTATTGCCACCACTTGTACTTCAAATCGTTATCATATAAATAAAATGCAATAGCAATAATCATATGACCCAATCTGTGTTCAGTGCAGAACACAGATATACATATGTATATGATATGATATTATAAAGAAAATAATACAATTATTCATTATAATGCAGTATCCAGTTCCCCTTTAGCTGTACTTTCTCTATAGAACGATTTAAATAATATCTATATGTTGAGACCTTTTACAAAGACAAGACAGATGACTCATTGCAAATGTCTCTAGATTTAACAGTGGATAAGAGCCAAGTATTGTCCACTGTTGTCTTACTATTTTATTGCCTGCCTGTTTGAGCAGTCTTGAGCAGATATTTATCATTTACCGGTAAGCTTACTGGTTACATGGCAAAAAAACAAAATATAAAAATAAATAATTTGCTGTTTTGCAGCTAAAGTCCGAAGATTATATTAGAGATATGACCTGTTAAAATTAAAATTATAATTTTATAAATTATTTTCAAGATAATAATATTTTATATAATCCCAATCATAGTAAAAAATGACATCGCGTGAGAAATAAAATGTGAAAAAGTAAATGCATGTGGAAACACAATATCAATGAAATTTATTATATGTGCCTATCGAAAATCGATTCAACAAAACGTGCTTAGTTCAGTCTTGTTCCATCCGTGGATTGGTTCAGTTCTCAGTTCATTATCTAGTTCATTCTGGTCCTTACTTTTACCCTTGAACTTTGCCGCGGTTGTTATTAAGAAATAAAATCTTAATGAAAGAAGGTTGATTCGAAAAAATAAAAGTCTAATAATAACACAATGGCACCCAATGTATCGATTCCTGTGGAGCGCTACGAGCCTAGTACTGCTGGTGTGAATGCTATTCTCTTGGGCCCACCAGGCTCTGGAAAAGGGACACAGGTGGGTTGTCGACACATATACATATGTATATTGTTATGTAATTTATGTACCCAGACATTAGCGCTCGAATACCAACTGTGCACACTTTGTATGTGTTCACTAAATTAAATATATTTAACATGTGCGTGTGTGTGTGTATGCAACAGGTTGTATAGAAGAAAGCAGCTTCGACCTTATTAACTTTACATACACATATTAATTTAGTGCATGTATGTATGTGTAGTTGGCCGGCAGGTCTATACGTTTGTCAGGGAATGCTTTGCAACAAATACAGATGCGTGTGTGTGTATGTCTTTATGTAGGTTTCTGTGATAAGGCTGCATGCTTATTTCTTTTTTGGGTCTATAGAGGGCACCTAATCACTAGAATAGTTTTTTATGTTCAACTTTCTATTTCATTAAATTATATTAAAATTGAATTTTTAATTAATTAATTAATGCTTTTTTGCTTAACTTTTCATTCAATATATCTAATCTGAATATCTCAATTTATAAAGATATAAATATTTCATAGACGGCCTTACGAATTAATAATATAACGGTCTTATCGCATTCCAACTGTTGCGACATCAAATTTATTATGTCGCAAATTATGTCCTATGAAATTATTTTCCATTAGGCAATTTAAAATATTTAGTTTCTGATATATAACAGATGATGATAGCGGATGAAGAAGGTAACATTTACTTATTTAATGGACTCGAACATTTATGGGTTTTATTGGCTTTTCCTCTATATTCCTCAGAATTCATGATAGTTGCCTTTTTAATGCTTGCAATTATAAATAATTATTTTATTTGTAAGCTGTTTGCTTAGACAGAAAGGAATGGTTTATCTTTTTTGCATTCCGAAAATATTGATACCAAATTTATAAAGATTACTTTTAAAGTCTTATAATGCTCACTGACGTGGCTCAAAGAATCTTTGGCAGTTTAAGTCACATAAAGCATATGCTTAACTTTTTATAAAATGCATAATTTGTAAATTGGAATCGTTTTATTGGTATACAAAATATAATGTACTTAATTTTATTTTTTTAGGCACCTTTGTTAAAAGAGAAGTTTTGTGTCTGCCATCTATCAACTGGCGACATGCTGCGCGCAGAGATCGCATCAGGTTCGAAACTTGGCGCCGAGCTGAAAAAAGTTATGGATGAGGGAAAACTGGTATCAGATGATCTGGTAGTGGATATGATAGACTCCAACTTGGATAAGCCAGAATGTAAGAATGGTTTTCTTCTGGACGGATTCCCAAGGACTGTTGTTCAAGCTCAAAAGGTAAGATTCTTATACTATTACATATTGACATATTATTAAAATGTAATCTATTTTTTTCTAGCTTGATTCGTTGCTGGACAAAAGAAAGACAAGCTTGGATGCCGTAATTGAGTTTGCTATAGATGACAATCTATTGGTAAGGAGAATAACTGGACGATTGATTCATCAAGCAAGTGGAAGATCATATCACGAAGAATTTGCTCCTCCTAAAGTTCCGATGAAGGATGATGTAAGTTAATCTGAATTTCAATATTCGGCTAGTTAAATATAATTATGTTTTCTTCACAATAGATTACTGGAGAGCCGCTAATGAAGCGTAGCGACGATAATGCCGAAGCACTGAAAAAGCGATTGGAGGCGTATCATAAACAAACCAAGCCATTGGTTGACTACTATGGATTGAGAGGATTGCATTTCAAGGTCGATGCTGCCAAAAAAGCCAGTGATGTCTTTTCAACAATTGACTCGATATTCCAACGAAATATTTCCAAAAAAGTTCAATTATAACGGCTTTATATGACGAGATTAACCACTGTTTGTTGCTTCATTCTGAAAATAAAACAATAGTTAAATTCAATAGTCCTTTGTTAAGAAAGTATATTATATTATTTGTGGCACTGTACAGTTTGTATACTTTTTACAAAAATAAATACAGGTTAAAAACATAACAGTATGGTTATATCAGTTCCATGGCTGATAACATGAATGTGACGAAAGTTCATTTTTAGATAAATGAATTGGTCTTTGGACTTTGACCTTCAATAAACTTTTGAAATATACGTATACACACATAATAAATATATAAATCAATATTTACATATGTATGCTTCCTTTACCGTAGCACTAAAAATTCGCGTATCATCTGATATCTTTTAGCGCAATAATTCAATAGATCGATATAAAAGTAATGGAAGGTAATGTTAATCAGAAATTTATAAACGTATTTCGAATACGGATACGGCCTATCGAAGAAGGATCCGATGGTTTCCTTAAACGCAAAAAGGTTTTGCTATTTTGTTATCTTCAGGAGGGAAATTGGATTTTGCGCCTTATATAAAAAATCTCACTGAAATCGCAGTTAGTTTCTTCTCGTTTGTTTGTTATCGATATATTAGGGCCTTCCCAGTCATATAATTAATTTTTATTATAAGTTGAAGTAAATGCATATTAGTGGAAACTAGCTCATTGTACATACAAATATCGATATCGGATGATTCGATTGATAAATTGACAACAATCATATCTATTTCAAACCGATTTGTTTAAGCCAAACAAAAATGTGTGATTTAAATGCTTTGTGGTTGGATGTATTAAAAATATTCCCAATTCTGAGTGGAGAGGTAAGCGATATTGTTTATTTACATTGTTCATTGATTAAATCATGTTTAAATTTGCAGATTACTTCTCCTTTAGAGACAGTAGAAGATGAAGTTTTTGAGAATGTTTACCGGCATCTCGAGAGCTTGGGAACTATTACAACATTAACATCTATTTTAAGTTTGGAAATTGAATCTACCATTCGGAATATACTTGTCCCCAAATTTTGGAAACACTTTACGCCTACCGAAAACGAAACACCCAAAGTCAAATTGGATATACCTGTGAATACAGCAGCGTTTTCGGATCCAAATGCTTTATTCTTCACATTTATTTATGCGATTGATGAGCTATATAATAGCTATGAATGCCTTGAGCTAATAAAACCTCGGCTGCTCTATCTGAATAAGAAGCCCCTGTCTGCGTCAAGTTTGGAAAACACCCAAAAGACGCTGCATAATGCATTGTTGGCGCAGCTGCCGCCATCGTTTAATAATTTTGTGGGCGATTTTTACAGCGTTCATTTTCGTCTATTTACGAAGGATTTAACTTTATCGGTGAATGCACTTGGTATGTCATTTGTTATATGTAGGACGTACTTTGTATATTATTATATATAGTCCTGTTAAATCTCTTTTTCAGATTCGGAGGTATTTACTGATTTACCGTGTGCTGGCTGCAATTTCGATCTTGACCAATGCTGCTGCCAGAAGCTAACTGAAATGGTGACTGCGACAAATGTGAAGCTGTTGAAGATGGGCTTGATTGATCGATTGGCTGGCAGCGCTTTGACAGCGTTGATCAAGTTGAAAATCAAGGAACATATTAACGACACATGCGTTGGAATATTCGATAGAAGTCATCTTAAGCAACTTGAAACGGTAAACAGAAAATCATAATCATCAAATATGTACTACACTGACCTCTAGTTCTGTTAATTTATATAAAAACCTTATATTTTCTTTTAGTGGATCAACGACGTTGTTATGACATGGTTAACTAGCATATTCACTGAATGGAAGTCGAAAGATGATATATCTCAAGAGAATATTCCCCAATCGGTTCAATCGTTTAAAGTAAAACTCACATATTTTATGTATGAAACATTTGCACAAAATGTGATCAGTCAGTTCTTTAGTATAATTATAGGTAATTTATTTAATAATATTATTGTCTCTTTTCTTGGATATAAATATTTAACTAATTAATTTCAATAACTTTCAGATTATCCGGATTCTTCGCCGGCCATAGATGATTTAAAGATTTGTATGGAGAAAATCGATATGCGAGTCTACCTAACTGAATCGTTGAGAAGCTCTTTAGAGGCAAGAATTTTGCATCCTGGTGTCAATACTATGGATATATTGACTGGCTACGTTGCAGCAATAAAAGCCATACGCCATCTAGATAACACTGGAGTGATATTAGAAATAGTCACAGCTCCTATAAAAGAATATTTACGAAAACGCAACGATACGGTTAGACGAGTTGTCACTGGCTTAACTGAAGAAGGGCCAACGGACCTCTCTGAAGAATTAGCTAAAGGGGAATTCATAAAATATGGCAAAGATGCTGGAAATAATGAATATAGCAATTGGGAGAATTGGGAGCCGGATCCATTTGGAATCGATCCCAATGTCTTAGAGTTAAACAACTCGAAAGTGATTCGCTCTGCAGATATTATATCCATGGTAGTCGATATTTATGGAAGTAAAGAACTATTTATGGTTGAATATCGCAATTTGATGGCGGATCGTTTACTATCACAGCTTGATTTTAATTCCGAAAAGGAAATTCGAAATCTAGAATTGCTGAAAATCAGATTTGGTGAGTCACTTCTACATAGTTGTGAAGTAATGCTGAAAGATGTGACTGATTCAAAGCGCATCAATGCGCATATTCATGGCGATGAGAATTCTGATGAGAGTAAGTAACTAAATTTATTAAATTTAATGATAATTAAATACAATTCTTTATATACTGATTATCTAGGTCCATTGTTTGATATATCGTCGCTTATTATATCGGCTCAGTTTTGGCCGTCATTCAATAAGGAGAGCTTGCAGTTGCCTGTTGAACTTGAGAATGAATTTAAGAAGTTCACAAAAGCATATGAGTCTTATAAGGGAAATCGCACGCTCAATTGGCGCACGGTGACTGGAAGAGTCAATATTGTGATCGAAATCGGTGATAGAGTGTTGGAGATGACTGTGCCACCAACACAGGCTGTTATTATTTACCATTTTCAGAATAAAAGTAAGAGTTTTCCCATAGCACTTGAAATTTTTACTAATAACTTATTTATTTATAGATGAGTGGAGTTTGGAAGAACTAAGCAGCCTTATAAAGGTGCCCCCATCAGCGCTTAGACGACGCATTAGTTTTTGGCAAAATCATGGCCTGATCGCTGAAATAGAACCGGGAGTTTTTGGCCTTTTGGAGAAAGAAACTGAGAAAACACAATTCGATGATGTCAACATTACAGATGCGGACGAGGAAGACTTGGAATCAGCCATGGCTTCGGCCAGTGATCAAAGGGAAGAGGAACTTCAAGTAAGCGAAATTTGACTGAAGTAAAGAAAATTCATTGAGTTAATAAAATGTTCTTCCAGGTTTTCTGGTCTTATATTGTTGGCATGCTTACAAATTTAGATTGTATGCCAATCGATCGTATTCATCAAATGCTGAAACTGTTTGCTTCGCACAGCGGAGGAGTTGAATTCACTCAAGATGAGCTCAAACACTTTCTGCAAAGGAAAGTGCGCGAACACAAACTTTTGTTTTCTGGTGGAGTTTATCAGTTGGCTAAATAAACGATATTTATTTACGGTTTATATTATGCATAAACTTTATTTATGTTAGCGTATCTGTTTCTAGTTTGAAAGAGTAGAAAAAAGTGGGGATAAATAATAGACTAATCACAGCAAGGCTCAGCAGAGAACAGACATTGAAAGTTAAAAAAAGATATTCTATAATCAAGAACTGAGATTTTATAAGCATATACGGGATTGTCAATCAAATTTCAAATACAATCGGCTCGTATGCTGCTAGGTAGCTAAATATAAATTGGGGACTTTTAAATAAAAAATAATTATAGATTGTGTGCATTTAAAACATCCAGGGTTTTAATAAAAACAATATTACTACAATTTACATATAGGTCATTACAGTTAAGAGACTTATGAACAAATAAGACAACAGAAATGAAGTATTTCTATGCATTTATTACACAGTTTCTACAAATTCATCAGTACGCATAATATTATAATGTGATTTTACAAGATGTGTTTTATTAGGATTTCTGTTAGCATTTGTTTTATGAGTTTCAAAGCTGGAAACCTATTATATGTTTTTGTTTTATATTATTTTCTTTCTTTTTAAATAATTTTCATTAGAGCTAGTATTTAATTAGATCCATTTGACGATTTTGTAGAACAGTTCCCGCCCAAAATGTACATTGATTTGTTTGCGTCCCGTTCACTACCATAGATTTTTCCAGCTTTTTTAGCCATCGATCCTAAAAGATCTTGCGACATTTTGTGGGCAGATCTTAATGACAACGCCCATTCCTTCAATCCAATTTCATCCTATAGAAAAGATGTTTTTATTATATAGATATTCGTTAGCATTTCTTAAGCTAAATATATAATTACCGAATTTGTCAAAATAATTCTGCCATCTCGGCTGCCGTCATTGACACGAATTTGAATACATTGTTCATTTTTATAGTGAACAAAGTCAGATGAAACATCTTCCACTTGGTCCAAGAAAATAAGTTCTGGCTTGTTATTACCACTCTCGGAATACAATTCCAAGCTGATTTAAATAAGAGGTAAATATATTTACATTCGATTAACTGAAATAAAATATGATTATAGTACCATACCGATTTGGATATAGCTTGGCATATTTAGTTTGCCATAATGATGCAAATGATCCGCCTAATTTTTTAATGTAGCCATGCAATATGCAATCTGATTCTTTTTCATCTGCATCGAAATGTTGTTTTTGTTTAGACTTCTTCTTCTGCTCAATTTTGTCAGTTTCCGTGTTTATTGTTTCGAATACAGTCTCAGCTACCTCCTGTTGCCACCTAATGAAACAAAGTTTATGAATGCAAAGAATATGTATTAAATTGGAATGCTTTTGTATAGTAGACTTTCTATTGACAAATGCTCACCTCTCGGATATAGTTAATGAGAAATGCTTATAGAGATCCTGATCATTGTCATTTAACTTAATACCTTTCGTATCTTCTTCGTCAAACGAGCCAATATCAAAGGCATCCGCCGCATTCACCTCACCTCGAGGCGGTACCAATGGTGGAGTGTATTTTTGGATGTAAACCTGATGCCAGTCAATGCCAGAAAAGAAACTATGCATTTTTACTTCATCAGCGCTGAAAAGGAAAAGGGAAAAAGTATTAATATTAAAACATTTTAGTTGACCTTTCAATTTTACCCATTCCCCATGCAGCCGAGACGCTTTGGCACTTCTCTCTGAAGAAGCAAATCCAACAAATTCCTTAATTCTGCTGAAAATGAGTCCGGAAGCTCAACATTCTGTGGAATGAAAACAATTTAGTAAATGGAAATTGTGTTAACTAACATTTCTTACCATGGTTAATGTCATTCTATCGATCTCATGCTTATCTTTTGTTTTATGTTGCCGAAATGGCGAATGTCCCTTTAGCAGCTTGTATAGCATGCAACCAAAGCTAAACCAGTCTGCGCATGAGTCGTAGGATGTTCCTTTCGATAATACTTCTGGTGACATATATCCGTGGGTGCCCACCGAAGCGTGGGGCTTCTTTTTGGAATAATCGCATGCTAAACCTAAATCCGATATTCGAATGTGACCATTTTCGTCCAGCAAAATATTAGCAGGCTTCAAATCGCGGTACACAATGCAGCGCTTATGCATATGCTCCAAGCCCAAAATAACCTAATGAAAGGAATATAATTAGCAATGCATTTGTCATATTTGTCATATTGATTTTGCAATTACCTCGGCTGCATAGAATTTCATTTCATCTTCGCTGAATACTCCATGCTGTGATAGGTGGTAATGCAAGTCGCCGCCATTCATTAAATCTAATATAAAACATAACTTATCCGGGGTGTGAAATGCATATGTCATGCATACAATGAAAGGGCAATCAATCTATATTAAGCAAATGAAATGGATATTAGTGCAACAGCAATTATATATTATATTATGGTAACTTACTCCTGTACTAACTGCTTGTAGCATATTGCGCTCGTTCAATGCCAACATTTCGCCTTGTTTCATTTTAATACGCTTCTTGTCTAAACATTTCATTGCGTACATTTTGCCAGTATCGGCTTTTCGACAGCCATAGACCTCGCCAAAGCCACCACGACCAATTATTCTATGTACGCTAAAGTCATTCATTGACAACTGAAAATGTATAATTATGCATTTGCTTTTATTATGCTTCCAATTTATGTTATATAGTATGTTTACTTACTTGTATATTTAGCTCCAGGTTCTTCCATTGGCAAAACCTTGTAAATTTGTCACTGTATAAATATCAAAATGGTATTAAGTAATGCAAATTTGGTATATTATAAACATTAATTTAAGGAGTGATGTAAGTCCAAGTCCAAGTGCATAACTCGGAGTTTCTCTTCTGATCTTCTTTTAATTTACAAAAGTATTAAATTTATGTAATTTGGACTACACGATTATACAAATTGAGTTTTCTATTTTAAATTTAGGCTTTCATATTATATTAAGTAATAATAAATAAAAAAGTTGCGATGTTCTGTGTGTGAAATGAACTTGCTTAACTTGAGGGCTTTTGTTGCTATGAAGTTAATGAATAATAGTTATACAATTGTTTTATTATATTTTAAATAATTTATAACAAGGCATACCTTTCCAGAAATTTTTTGAATGGTTTGCCTTTAAGCTGACCAAAGATTTCTTCCATGTAAGGCTGCAATGAACAATAATTACTGATTATTTAAAATTCGAAAAATGTAATGTTCAATTTCTAGGAATACGAATAAATCAAACAGGAAATAAAATAAAAATCATACATTGGTTAAATTTAATTCAAAGAAATTCTGAACAGCCTACATAATAGCAACCAAAATAAGTTGAGATATGGTTTCTATGTTTCAGTCGAATATGTCTAAATTAATAGGAGTCATTCAAAAAATTCCATTGAAGGGAATTGTAAATAGTTTTTATTATGTTTTCTATGGAATGATCAAAATGATTATAATATACCCCGAACGCTAAGCGTATACTTACTTCAAATAAATTCACAGGAACTTCATTTTTTAAGATATACTTTTGGACATTTGCAACGGCATCTTTGGAGTATTCCTATTCATAATATAAGAGAACATATAACTTCAGATTTCATCATGCCTGGAATACTTACATAAGTATGTGCCAGCATTTCTTCCATTATAAAATTATCATAAATTTCTCTGGCCAGCTTTTTTCGCTCGTCGAAACATTCTGTTTTCTCAAAATTTTTAATCTTTAAAGAAAAGTATATCAATAAATAAAAATTGCATATATTGGCAGTTCTTTAATAGTAATACCTGCTCATAGAACTTCAACTGTTGAATTGGTTCTTCAGAATCATTCTCACAGAAATCCTTAAACAACAAGTATCCTAGGATAAATTACAATAATAATTAATTATTATCGGCCAGATTGTGATCTCTTAAGATTATTATAAGTACCTATAATCTGATTAAAAATGCTGTGAAAGTTGAGTTGATTTTCCTTTTCAAGGTATTTGTACATAACGCTTCTAACGCTGTAAAGAAGATTTATACAGTTTAAATACAGCGCTATGTAGAAATATAGAAGTTATAGGGGATATGTTTGATATTCGGAGGATACACTCCAATGAATACACTTAATGAGTAATAGTGGGAATATAATATATAGTTTATGTACAATCTCTGTGTATTTTAATTTAGGTCTTCAGTTTTCTCTGTACAAAGGAAGGAATTCTTCCATTTCCCTACAACATTTATAATGAATTTATTGTATTCTTATATTTTCACAAACTAATAAATTTCTAATGAATCGTGTTTTTAGCCTCGCACGGTTAGTTTTCAAAGATAACTTTTATATGTTCCCTTCGGTTTGGTGTAATTCACTCTAGCAATATAAAATGTTTATAAATGTAGTTTTTTTTATAGAATTCAAATCGGTTGTTTTCTACCCAATAATATCATTATCTTAACTGTATTGTTATAGTGCATAGGCAAAAAAATGTTGCTGACGCTATTGCTATTACTAGTTAACCCGCATACTGGACTAATACTTGACTTTCAAACGGAATGCAAATCTCAACAAATATCATTTACGAAGGCCTTTATAACTTAACTTAAATTATCATAGTTTATATCAATAATACTAAAATACAGAATAGTGTATGGATATGAAATGAAAAAACCAATTAATTACATCTACATCTGTTCATATAGATCAGTTTGATAACAGATCCGCATCCCAGCTTCCAGCCGTCGAGCTCCTCATTTAGGAATAATTGTAGACTTTTTGGAAAAGTAAATGAAAGCGTTTATCGATACAAAATGCAGTGATTTTCGCATGCACTCGTGTAATAATATCCTGTCTGTATAACTTTGCGAAAACTAAAAAAAAATATCAAAAAGTGGGGAAAATCATATTTAAATATAGAAACAAAATGGAAACATGATAGATTAACTACAAATCAACTACTTTTCTAATCTATTCAAGGGAATTTATCTATTTACTTATTATTAGCGGGAAAGCTGGCATTTGCTAAAGGCATAACATTCAAACAAGCATTAACAGT